ACTTCACCCCCACCCTACACCTCACCCCACCTCCCACCTCACCTACCCCACACCTACACCCCTTCACCTCTACTTACGCCTCACCCCTTCACCTCCACCCACCCCACTCTCCACCTACACCCACCTCACCTATCCCTACCACACCATCTCCAATTACCCCCTCCCCCACCATACAAACTCCCTCTTTCTCTCCCATCTCGATCTATCTCCCCACTTTCTCTCCCCCCCACATTCTTCTTTATTCTTCCCCTTTGTACGACCCCTATTTATTTAGAGGGTCTTCTTTATGTAGGGGTTGTACACTCTCACCGCTGTTACTGACCCATATTTATCCTAGGGTTAAAGACTCACACACACACACACACACACACACACACACACACACACACACACACACACACACACACACCTACAGTACCCTTCCTCCTCGTTCCCCTCGTCTTGTCAGAAATTCATCCCCCCTCCTCCCCTCTTCTTCCCTCACAAGATATTCAACTTTCTTCCTTTCCATCTTCCCTCTTCACTTCCCCTCTTGGAGTAAGGAAATCTCCCTCAGGTCCTCTTGTTCCACTAGTTCCTACGGTCTGTGCCTCCATCCACGGCCCGTTCCCCCATCCCGCCCGTTCCTCCATCCCACGGCCCGTACCTCCATCCCAAGGCCCGTTCCTCCATCTCACGGCCCGTTCCTTCATCCCCGGCCCGTTCCTCCATCCCACGGCCCGTTCCTCCATCCGGCCGTTCCTCCATCGACCCGTACCTCCATCCCGGCGTTCCTCCATCCCACGGCGTTCCTCCATCCACGGCCCGTTCCTCCATCCCACCGCCCGTTCCTCCATCCCACGAAACCGTATCTCCGTCCTTACTATGCACTAATTAGATCATTCTAAACATAGTCTCGTTGAGTAACACATAATTTTTCTCTATATGTTCCAGCGTATTTTTAAAGTCACAAATTTGTACGCGTTTTTAAGCTTTATATCATATATTTTCCCGCGTTTTTAAAAATAATTTCAGATATTTTCCCGCGTTTTTCCAAGTCATTTTTTTAATCGCAGAAATTCCATCGACTCTAATTTTTCTTAAGTGTATAATAAACTCCAAGTTGTTTTTCCTGCTATTTTCCAGGTATGTTATTATTATACTGTGTTATCTACCCTTCCCTCTTCCCTTTCTCTATTATAAGCTAACAAATTCCTCGTCTCTGATCGTCCATTCTGCCTATCCCTCTATTCGTTATTAAACATTTTTTTATACTCTCCCCTTCATTAATGCCTACCCTACCCTATCCTGCCTTGGTCTTCCCTCCCTTGGTCTCCCTATCCTCCCCCTACCTACCCTTATCCTCCCCTACCCTACCCCTACCTTACTCTCCCCCTTCTTATAACTCTGCAATATATATATATCCTTCTGCGCCTCCCTCGTTATAATATCAAGCACCATAACTAAAAACCCCATCAGGCTAAACACCATCAACCTAGTCACCACCATCACCATCACCATCAGTCTTGTCACCATCAACCTAGTCACCACCACCATCAGTCTTGTCACCCCCACCACCATCACCACCTGACACCACTACCATCACCATCTTCATCACCATTACCACACCGACATCACCATCACCACTCCTATCTTCACCATCATCACCATAACAGATACATTATACACTATCATTTCTCATAGGCTTCACTACCATCACTTCGACACCATGGACTCCGTTATGTTTACTCCTATACCTCCTCCTGCCTCCACCCTCCCCCCCTCCCTCCCCATATATTACACAGCATCTCTCTCTCTCTCTCTCTCTCTCTCTTTTCTCTCTCCAACCAACAGAAGTCTTTGACTTACTTACAACTTCCACTTGTTATTAATCCAGAAAGCCACGGTTGTAGTGATGATGACGTCATAAATAACCTTCCTGTTGTGTGTGTGTGTGTGTGAACATGGCGCTCGAGTTCTTAAGTTACAATGACAGTGAATGACTTGGTGGTCTCGCACTGTACACACACACACACACACACACACACACACACGTAAAAGCAATGACCAACATCCTCTCAACACCCAAACACGCTTGTTTTCTCTCAATACCAGTGAAAGCCAGCGACTCTCTCTCTCTCTCTCTCTCTCTCTCTCTCTCTCTCTCTCTCACATACGAACATCAGCCACACCTAATCAATCACCACCCCCCCACCTTCCTATAACCTTTTCCCATCATCCGGAAGCCGTTAACACCACGACCCTACCACCATTACCATAACAACCATCACCACAACTACTACCCCTAACCGCCCCCGGATACCACCACATCCAACCAACTACCACCATTCAATCACCTTAGTTACTTCTACAACAACCACAACAACTAGCATGCAGGACTCGCTATCAAAACTACCACTATTCCTACAACTACAACCACTATCTGAGGTTAACGGCTACACCTCCCCCACCCAACCCAACTATACCTGTGTAAACGACCCACTACCTGTGTTATATGGCCACTCCTACCCACTACCTGTGTTATATAGCCCTCCTACCCACTACCTGTATATGGCCACTCGTACCTACTACCTGTGTTATATGGCCACCCCTACTACCTGTGTTAAATGGCCACCCCCATACTGTCTTAATGACCACCCCCACTACCTGTTAAATTGCCACCCCACTATGTTAAGGCCACCCCCACTACCTGTGCTAAATTGCCACCCCTATTACCTGTGTTAAATTGCCACCCCTACTACCTGTCTTAAATGACCACCCCTACTATCTGTGTTAAATGACCACCCCTACTACCTGTGTTATATGGCCACCCCTACTACCTGTGTTAAATGGCCACCCCCACACCCAACCTCTCTGGCCGTGACTCTATCCTGAAGAAACGGTGACATTAATTTCCTGTAGGGGGGTGAAGAGGAGGTGGGCCAGGTGGTCCTTACTAAGTATACCTGGACGAGACGCAGGTAGGAAGGAAGGAAGGAAGGAAGGAAGGACTCTCTCTCTCTCTCTCTCTCTCTCTCTCTCTCTCTCTCTCTCTCTCCATTGATATTCGGCAGCCAGGTGCACTAATTACACGTGGTCAGGTATAAGGTGGGACACACTCCTATAAGGTGTTGAGAGTTACTGTCCACTAACACGTATTACACTGTACCTCCAGTGACCAAACTAACCTAACCTAACCTAACCAAGCCTGACCACACCTAACCTAACACAACCAAGCCTGACCACACCTAACCTAATACAACAAAGCCTGACCACACCTAACCTAACCAAGTCTGACCACACCTAACCTAACACAACCAAGCCTGACCACACTTAACCTAATACAACCAAGCCTGACCACACCTAACCTAACCAAACCAAGCCTGACACACTTAACCTAATACAACCAAGCCTGACCACACCTAACCTAACCAAGTACACCCTAACCCAACACCAGCAAGCTGACCACACTTAACCTAACACAACCAAGCCTGACCACACCTAACCTAACCAACCAAGTCTACCACACCTAACCTAACACAACCAAGTTTCCACACAACTAACCTAACCAAGCCTGACCACACCTAACCTAACACAACCAAGCCTGACCGCACCTAACCTAACACACCAAGCCTGATAAACCTAACCTAACACAACCAAGCCTGACCACAACCTAACCTAACACACCAAGCCACACCTAACCTAACACAACCAAGCCTGACCACACCTAACCTAACCAAACCAGACCACACCTGAACAAAACCGGTGAGAACAGTGTGTGTGTGTGTGTGTGTGTGTGACCCAATAAAGACACAGGTCCTACTATCGCTCGCGTGGGCGTTCGGGTCCGCCAGGCTATGTGACCTTCAGAGTACAAATACGAGATTAAATTGCGGTACTATTATCCTACGCTCTTATGACGACCAGGTAATTTTCTTCGCTGATTATATCGAATTTTTTTAGGGTTCGTTGTGAAGATATTGAACCGTGTGTGTGTGTGTGTGTGTGTGTGTGTGTGTGTGTGATCATAAAGCTTCGGGTAACAGCAGCCATTAGTGGTGTAAGTCAGCTGACGTGTCTGGGTACTGCACTGTGATTACCTCAGATGACTCTCTCTCTCTCTCCCTCCACTACACCTGCTCCTCATTACACCTACACAGGCGCTACCCGTTGTGTGCGTGTGTAGTGGTGTTCTTTTACTGACACACACAAACTCCCTTACACTAAAACGCATTCCTTCAAACTTTACACACACACACTTACGCCTGTAATATTCTCTCACTTAACTAGAATTACGGACACATAACTGAGTGCATTCTTTCCTCGACACACTTACAAACTGAGTGTGTCCTCTACCCAGGACACACTTATAATTGTCTCCCCCCTTACACTCTGGGGTTGTCATGCCTGGTCACGTACTAAAAATTAAGTGCATAATGGTTATTCACTCAACAGCGTCTCATAATAACTAGTGAGTGCATCTATTAATCTTGGTAATCTGTCGCACACACTTGCAGCTGAGTGTGTTCCCAGTCACGACGCTGACACACTTACTCCTGTTTCCATCTTAACAAAGTTCACACAAGTACAGTGGAGTATGTTTACACTTGATATAATACACACACTTACGACTTAAAATGTGTTTTCACTACAACAAGTTCACACACTTATGGCTGAGCGTGTTGCCACTTACCGTACTTCACACACTTTAATATAGTGTCACTGGTTCCATTTAACGAGGTTCACGCACACTTTCCCCGAGTGTTACAACATCAACTGACTGTCACACACACACAGTCAACAGTCTCTTTAAAACTGGTTATGCCGAGTTTCTTGAGTTAAAAATAAATAAAAAAAAATAAAATACATAAAAATATTTAAAAAAAAATCACATTTAAAAATTCCTTATTAATTTTCAATGAACTTTGTATAAACACAGTCCCGCCATTCCCAGGATTATCACTAACAACAACAACAATGACAATAACAATGACAGTTTTCAGTAGCGGGGTCGTACCTACAATAACACGTCCGTCACACATCACATTTCCACTCAAACTTCTTTATCTTTCTCAACAAAGATTTATATCACTGGTGTATTTTTTTGCGTCAGGTCACAACAGCTGATAGGAACACACAGCCTGAATGGGAATCAGCTGATGGGAACATATTTAGACATGACCGGTGAGCGAGGTGGTGGTTGGTCGGGTGGTGCGTCCCACAACAACGCGACCTCCTCCGCCGCCCGCCACCCAGCCTGCCACGCGCACACTGACGCCGCCCACCCTCCCCGACCAACACACCGCCCCCAACACCACCCGTCCCGCCCCTAATATTGCTTGCCTGCCTGCCGACCTCCCTCCAGCACCCATCCCACACCTTAAACTACCACCCCAATCCCCACCCCACACCTAAACTACCTGCCCACCCTCCCCCAACAACATACTGTATCCCCACATCTAAATCCCACTTTCTCCCCCTCCACTCTCTCATTTCCCTACTCCTCCCCACCTCTCCCCACCCTCTGCACAGTCACCTACTCCTCCCCACCACCACTCTTACCTCCCTACATCTTCCCTACCCTTCCTCCCCACACGTCCATTCCTCCCTTTAAGTTTCCATTCTCACTAAGCTCATCGTCTCGACACCCCCCATACACCAGCTCTCCTTTCCTCCCTCCCTCCCTTATCCTTCCTTCCTTCCCTCCCCTCCCAACCAACCTTCCTTCCTTCCTTCCTTCCTCCCCTCTTTCCCCTACTCAACCGTCCTTCCCTCCCTCTCCTCAATCATTCCTCTCCCTCTACTTATCATCCTCCCTCCCTCTCCCTGTCATCTCAATATTACAGGCTATTATCCGCTTTCATTTTTCTCTCTCTTTATCTCCGTCCTTCTCTCCTTCCTCCCCTCTCTCCTCCTTTCTTTCTTCTTTCCTCCTATCTCTGTCGTTCTTTCTTCCTCTCCTTCCTCCTCTCTCCCCTCCCCCCTCCCTCTCCTTCCTCTTCTCTTCTCCCATCTCCAGTGTTTATCATGGATTATCTTATCCTCTGTCATCTTTAACCTCTCTCTTAGCATCGTCTTATTCTCCGTTGCTTTTCCCATCTTCCCTGATTCGTTAATTTGTCTCATTTGCTTATTCTCATTCTTTGTTGTCCATTCTCTCTGTTTCTTCTTTTATCATGATTCTCTTATGTCTCCTATTTAGCTCTAAGTCTTTATTTATTCCATTTCTTCTCGTATATATTTCGTTTATTATTATTTATACCTTCTTACTTAACATCAACACATCAACACATACAACAGAAGCCCATAAACATCGCCAGGAGTAAACACAAACAACATGACCTACTGTGCAGACAACATCAGTAAACACAAACAACATCACGACACACAAACATCAACATCACTCGTCACATTTACCCGGGTAGCCGATAACGTCACTAGAGGGAGTGTAAGGCGACAGTAATTTGCATTCCATCTTAAAATTGAATCATTCTTTATCTTCTTAAGTTTCATTTAATACAGATCATAATAAATCAAACAACCACTTGATTAATGTAAACAAATCAAACGATCACTTGATTCATGTAAACAAATCAACAAATCAATTACCTCGAATGACGTCACACCTGAGGGATTTTTTTAGCTCTGATTTTACTGGGATTTATGGTACAATATCCTACACACAAAAAAAAGAGAGGAATTTTTCAGGATTTTTTTTCTCCTCTACTCCATTATATAAAAAATCCCAACAATAACAGCGAGAAAGGCGAGTCCTGAGCCCTAGGAGTTGACCTTTATATAAATTTTTTGGAGAACACAAAGTTGCTATTGATAACCTCTCTCTACCTTCCCCCCTCTTCTACCTCTCTCTCACCTCCCCCTCCCTCACCTCCCTCTCCCTCACCTCCCTCTCCCTCACCTGACCTGACCTCCCTCACCTCCCTCTCCCTCACCTCATATTTGTCTTACTATCTCTGTCCCGCTCTCAGCCGCCCCAGGAACCTGCCCTATATATTATGATTACATTTTTACCTTTAGACAGTGGAACTATGCCCACCTTACCCCTTCAACCTCCTCCTCTTCCTGCTTCTCCTTCTTCTCCTGCTCCTGCTTCTGCTTCTTCTCTTCCTGCTCCTGCTGCTCCTCTTCCTGCTTCTGCTTATCCTCTTCCAGCTTCTTCTCCTCCTCCTGCTTCTTCTCCTCCTCCTGCTTCTGCTCCTCTTCCTCCTTCTGCTTCTCCCTCTCAATATGGGTTTACAAAGGGAAAATCTTGTCTAACAAATCTGCTAACGTTTTTTAGGAAAGTCTTCGAGGTAGTAGATAATGACGAAAATTACGATGTTATTCACTTAGAATTCAGCAAAGCATGTGACAGAGTACCGCATCAGAGGATTCTGAGAAAAGTTAAAGCTCATTGTATCCAGGGGAAAATTTTAAATTGGATAAAATCATGGCTCACCGATAGAACACAGAGGGTCATCCTTGACCACCGAAGGGTCAAGACGTACCTGGCGCTCCTCTCGGAGCAGCCAGGTCAACTGTTAAGTTGGCCCATACCAACCCCCTCCCCTGAACCCTCCTCCCCACCGGAATATCAACAAGTTCTCGCCAGAAGTTACAATTTCATTTAGGAAAGGAACGGAACCAGTGTTAAACCGAGGTGAACAGTGGTGAACAGTGCTTAAGTCAGTGAGAACAACTCAACAGTAACAGTCGCACCCAAGTTAACCTTCACACAGTGAGGTCCCAGGTACCCAGTGATAACGGCCCCCGCGAGACCCAACAACAACCACCGATGTGTTAATCCGTCTACGATAGGAAGGCCTGGGACCAAACCTCACTCATATAACACCATCTGTGAGGGAATTACTACACCACATGTCCCTCATAACACCATATGTGAGGGAATTACTACACCACGTCAACATCACACCATCGTCACGTGAGGTCCCTCATAACACCATCACTCACACTCATAACACCTGTGAGGGAATTACTACACCACGGAATTACTACACCACGTGAGGTCCCTCATAACACCATCTGTGAGGGAATTACTACACCACGTCAGGCCCCTCATAACACCATCTGTGAGGGAATTACTACACCACCACGTGATGAGGCCCCTCATAACACCATCTGTGAGGAATTACTACACCACGTGAGGCCCCTCATAACACCATCAGCGAGGGAATTACTACACCACGCCAGGTCCCTCATAACAACATCTGAGGGAACTACTACACCACGTGAGTTCCTCCTAACACCATCTGGGAGGGAGTTACTACACTACGAGTTTGCTGTTCAACACCTACATTAATCTGTATGTTCACTGTATGTTCCTTTACCTTTCTCTAATGAAGGCTTTTGTTAAACCACCAATGTATGTAATAAGTGATTTATGTCCAATGTATATTTTCAGCCTTCGGGCTGCAGAATTTTTTCAATAAACCGTTAATTATTATTATTATTATTATTATTATAGATGGTGTTAAATCTGAGTGGGGCCGTGTAACCAGTGGGGTTCCCCAGGGGTCAGTACTAGGCCCACTCTTGTTCATAATCTACATAAACGATCTAGATATTGGGATCAGCAGTGACATAAGCAAGTTTCGGATGACACCAAAATAGGGCGGCAGATTAATTTAGGGCAGGATGCAAATGCATTACAGGAGGATCTAAATAAACTGCAGGGGTGGTCTGAAAAATGGCAAATGAAATTCAACACCAGCAAGTGCAGCGTACTTAATATTGGAAGAACAAATACTGTCAATGTATACAGCCTTAACAACATCAACCTAGAGAAGTCGACTTGTGAAAGAGACCGAGGGGTACTTGTAAGCCCGGAACTACGGCCTAGAAAACAGTGCGTTAATGTTCGAAATAAGGCAAACAGAGTATTAGGTTTTATATCTAGAAGTGTAAGTAATAAGAGTGCAGAGGTCTTATTGCAACTATATCTTGCGCAAGTCAGGCCGCACCTCGATTATGCGGTTCAGTTCTGGTGCCCTTATTATAGAATGGATATCAATTCACTGGAGTCGGTGCAACGAAGAATTACGAAAATGATTCCGGGACTTAGAAACCTTCCATATCAGGATAGGTTAAAGAAACTAAACTTGCATTCCCTAGAAAGACGAAGAGTGCGGGGAGATATGATACAAGTATTAAAGTGGGTGAAAGGAATCAATAAAGGGGATATAGATAAAGTTCTTATAATATACGAGCAGGATAGGACTCGGGAGCAACGGATTTAAGTTGGATAAGCTTAGGTTTAGGAGGGAGATAGGAAGGAACTGGTTCACAAATGGGGTGGTGGACGAGTGGAACAAGCTTAGCAACTTTGTAGTAAGTGCTGGAACGCTGGAAAGTTTCAAAAGGAGGCTAGATAGATTCATGGATGATAGAGAGTGGTAGTAACTCTCGACAGGAGCTGCCATGCACAGGTCAACCGGCCTATTGCAGACTCCTTATTTTCTTATGTTCTTATATGCTCTTACCTGCTTCTCTTCCTGCTTCTTCTCATTTTCCTTCTTCTTCTACTCCCTTTCCCTCCTTCTCTTCCTACTTCCTCTGATCTTACTCATCTGATCCTCTTCCTTCTTCTCTTCTTCCAGCACTACCTCCTCTTCCTCCTCCACCTACTCTTCCTCCTCTTCCACCCTCTTCTCCTCCTCTTCCTCCCAGAAAAAGCTTCTTATCAATAGAGTTTCATACATTATCTAGCGTGTTGGTCATCTGTCTTTATGAAACCAGACAGTGTCACCATCCTCCAGTACACACACACACACACACACACACACACACACACACACACACACACACACACACACACACACACACACACACACACACACACACACTTTCCTTTTCTCCGTAAGCATTAGCTAGCACGCTTCTTTCCACCCTCAACCTCCCATTTAATATCTACTAATCCACTACATACAAGGAAAGTTCTCGCGTTTTTTGAACTGCTGGGCCCCGGCTGGTTGGCTGGTAGGTCGAAACTGGGTTAGTATAGGCTGGTAGGGTCGACACATAGCTGGTAGAAAGCGTATACCAGTAGCTTCTAACTCGTCTTCTGGTCGCCTGGTAGGAGCTGGTCGCCTGGTAGCAGATGGTAGATGGAGTAGCTTGTGCTTTTCAAATACACGATAGTAAACTAGTCGCCTGGTAGAAGCTGGTCGTGTGAGAGAGGGTGCTGGTAGGAGGTGGTCGCGTGAGAGTGAGGGTGCTGGTAGAAGCTGGTCGTGAGAGAGGG